TCTTCATTGAGCTCTCTGCTCTGGTGCCACCTGCCGACCACTCCTTCCAGATTATTGTCCCTCCCCACCACTGTCCTCATTTTCTACCTCTCACTTGCTTTCTTTTATTTTTCCTTTTTTTTTTTTTTTTGAGATGGAGTTTCACTCTTGTCACCCAGGTTGGAGTACAATGGTATGATTTCGGTTCACTGCAACCCCCACCTCCCAGATTCAAGCCATTCTTCTGCCTCAGCCTCCCAAGTAGCTGGGATTCCAAGTGCCCACCACCATGCCCAGCTAATTTTTGTATTTTTAGTAGAGACGGGGTTTCAACATGTTGGCCAGACTGGTCTTGAACTCCTGACCTCGGGTGATCCACCCACTTCAGCCTCCCAAAGTGCTGGGATTACAGGTGTGAGCCACTGTGCCCAGCTATTTAGCTGTTATTCTCCCCGTCTTCTTCTTCCTTCCTCCTTCTTCCTCCTTTCTTCGTCTTTCTTCTTCCTCTTCCTCTTCTTCTTCCTCTTCCTCCTCTTCCTCTTCTTCCTCTTTTTTCTCTTCTTTCCCTTCTTCCTCTTCCTCCTCTTCTTCTCTTCCTCCTCCTCTTCTCTTCCTCCTCTTCTTTTTCTTCCTCTTCCTCTTCTTCTTCCTCCTGCTGCTGCTTCTGCTTCTTCTGCTGCTGTTTCTTCTACTTCTGCTTCTTCTGCTTCTTTCTTTTCCTCCCTCCCTCCTTTCCTCCCTCCCCCCCCCCCCCCCTCTCTTTCTCTTGCCCAGGCTGGAGTGCAGTGGCACGATCTCGGCTCACTGCAGCCTCCACTTCCTGGGTTCAAGTAATTCTCCTGCCTCAGCCTCCCAAGTAGCTGGAATTACAGGCGTGGGTCACCACGCCCAGCCAATTTTTGTATTTTTAGTAGAAATGGGATTTCATCATGTTGGTCAAGCTGGTCTTGAACTCCTGACCTCATGTGATGCACCCACTCAGGTGAGTTCCCAAAGTGCTGGGATTACAGATGTGAGCCACCACCCCGACCTGTTTTCTTAATAGTAACTGTTATTCCCAATGTGTGTGTGTGTGTGTGTGTGTGTGTGCGCGTGTGTAAGGATCTGATATACACATTACTAGTTTTGAGAGGAAAGGGATGTTACTTGTTCAATTCTGTGTTAGTCCTTTTTCACACTGCTGATAAAGACATACCTGAAACTGGTAAGAAAAACTGGTTTAATGGACTCACAGTTCCAAGCAGCTAGGGAGGCCTCCCAGTCGTGGCAGAAATCAAGGAGGAGCAAGTCGTGTCTTATGTGGATGGCAGCAGGCCAAAAAAGAGCTTGTACTGGGAAACTCCCCCTTATAAAACCATCAGATCTCATGAGACTTATTTACTATCATGAGAACAACACGGGAAAGACCTGCCCCCGTGATTCAATTACCTCCTACAGGTTCCTCCCAGAGCATGTGGGAATTCAAGATGAGATTTGGATGGAAACACAGCCAAACCCTATCAAATACTGTGTCATCTTTCTACTACAGTGCCTTGTACATATTGGCACTTGATGAGTATTGTTTGAATGAATTATTGGATGTTTTTAAGGAGGAGATGAACATAACTCAAATTACATTTATAAAAGATTTTGCCTGTCAGGTGGAGAAGAACTGTGTAGATGAGTGAGAGAGGAAGTTAGGAGTACTCTAATGAAAGAATATGAAGCCAGGCACAGTGGCTCACGCCTGTAATGCCAGCACTTTGGGAGGCCGAGGTGGGTGGATCAGCTGAGGTTGGGAGTTCGAGACCAGCCTTACCAGCATGGAGCAACCCTGTCTCTACTAAAAGTACAAAATTAGCTGGGTGTGGTGGCACATGCCTGTAATCCTAGCTACTTGGGAGGCTGAGGCAGGAGAATCTCTTGAACCCAGGAGGCTGAGGTTGCAGTGAGCCAAGACTGCACCATTGCACTCCAGCCTGGGCAACGAGAGTGAAACTCCATCTAAAAAGAAAAAAAATAGTGGCTGGGACCATGATGATGGTGGAGGAGATGGAGAAAAGTAGAGAGCTGTCAGGTGGTATACTTTGAAGGTAGAAACATCAAGACTTACTGATGGATTTGATATGGGTGGCATGGGAATAAAGAATAATCAAGGATGACTCTCAGCTGGGTGTGGTGGCGCACACCCGTAATCCCAGCTACTCAGGACCCTGATGCAGGAGTATTGCCGGAGCCCAAGAGTTCAAGACTAGCTTGGGCAACATAGCAAGACCCCATAGTAAGGGAGGGCAGGGAGGATGACTCTCAGAGTTGTTTGAGCTTTGTGGCATCTGAGTGGAAATGCTAAGTACACAGCTGTAAGTTTTTAACATAAAGGAAAGGGCTGGCCTAGAATAAGAGTTCAGGAGTTATCAGCCTACAGGTGGCATTTAAAGCCATTAAACTAGACAAGGTCAGCTACAGTAAGCAGAGGATATCAAAAGATCTAAGACTGATTCCTCAAAAACTTCAGCATTTCAGTTTAATTTAGAAGTTTATACATGGAGCAAAGAGGAGAGACAGATTTATATAAGAGGTTATAGACCAGTCCTCTCTTTTTAGAGATAAATGGAAACCCAGCATTGTTAAATAACTTGTCCAAGGTCATATAACCTAATTTTGTCCCCCTAACCCTTGTGTCCCTTTTTTTGTAGCTATAAAAATGACTTTGTTGCATGAGTACTGTATACCATTCTCTATGCTTTAAGTACTTTAAGAACATTATTCCCTTTAATATAAAGGTAATTACATTTATTTTAGGGTAGGGTGGAAAAGAACTTGCGCTCCAGAGTCAGACTACCTGGTTTCGGTTTCATTTCGTCCATTGACTAGCTGTGTGACCTTGGACAAATTACTTAGCTGGTCTAAATCTCAGTTTCCTAATCTCTAAATTGGGTTGTTGCAAGGGGCTCCTTGCAGTTCCATATGAATTTTAGGATCTGCCTTTTCATTTCTTAAACAAAGGCTGTTGGGATTTTGTTAGGGATTGCATTCAGTCTGTTGATCACCTTGGGTAATGTTGTTGTCCTAACCATGTTGTCTTCCGGTGTATGAATACAAGAGGTCTTTCTGCTTATTTAGGTCTTCTTTAATTTCTTTTAAAATATTTTGTGCTCTTTAGTGTATAAGTCTTGTAACTCCTTGGTTAAATTCATCTCTTAGCATTTTTGGTGCAATTTTAATGATTTTCTTGACCTCATTTTCCAATTGTTCTTTGGTCATGTATAGAAATACAAAAGATTTTGTTAATTATGTATTCCACAACTGCTGAAATTGCTTATTAACTCTAGTAGTGTTCCTTTAGGTTTTCTGTGTGTAAGATTGTCATATGCATTTTAAAAAACAGTTTTTAGACCTAGTTATTACCTTTACACCAATGTTTTTAAAGTTTCAGTTTACAACCAGTGAATGTGTTGTCAAATCGATGGAATGTGCAAGTTTTGTTTTGTGAAGCTTTTGTATGTATAACATGTCCATATGCATGTGTCCGTGTGCAATATATATAAATATATATAAATTTATTTCTTACTGTGAATAGCAGTTGAAAACTTTGAAACCCATTGCTTTATGTGATTTCATTGTGTAATTGGAATATAAGATTTGGGTAAGTTACGTAAGGTAAAGCTTTAGTTGTCTTTCATTACTTTGAATGATAATTCTGTATTGCAAGATGTTTTCTAAATACAAAAATAATTGAGCAAAAAATATACTCTATGTTTACTGGTGGCTCTGTGAGTAATAAACTTGTGAGATTTCTGCTTTTAATGCTTCTGGATAAATCAGCTTTTAGCTTTTTTTGGTACTGTGAAGGTTTCCTGTTTACACTCTTGATATTTTCTTGAGAATGTATTTTACAAAAGATAGTGATCTATTAGATTGTGTAAGATGCTTACTATACATGAAAACAAAAAGCTACATTATTAAGGATATTACAGACCACAAACATGTCATTTATTATTTAATTGATATAAATTATTAAAATATAATTTTTTTAAGTTATTAATGAGTGTCCAGTTTACTGACTACAGTAAGAAATTAAGAGAACTTACAGCTTGTTAGTGCAAATGAAGTACTTTAAAACGTAATGATTGTACATAGATGCAAATTGTTTTATAGAAAGATAAAATTATTCCTGTGTATGGGACTCTTAATAGGATGTCTTTCCAATCTGATAAATTAATGGTGTTTGATTTTTCTAAATTGCTTTCATGATGTTAAGTTGCAGCTTTTACCCACAAGTAGTCATGTGGGGATTATGGACCATGTATGGTAAAAGACATTAGGGCTATTGGCGCACCCATGGCCTTACATGGCCCTCTGCCCTCTTTCCTCCATTCCCCATCTACTGATGAGGCTGCTTCCCTGAGGTCCACATGTTTTCCTGACATTCTTTTTTTTTTTTTATTCTACTGTGTTACAAAATTCAACATGTATTGGAATGAGCTTGGGCTTCAGAACACCGTAGGACAGTGTTTGATTTCTCCTTCCCCCTTGTGGTAACCATGTGACTGTGGACAGACAAGTCACTTGACTCCTCTTAGCCTCAGTTTCTTTTGCCATAAAATGAAGATAATTCAGCATTACATTGAAGAGTAAATGGTATTATGTTGTATATATGACATGTCAAATATTATAGCTGGCATGATAATTGCTTAATAAATGGTAGCTGTTACAATGCTGGAGCCATCATCAGTACACAGTAAACGGTGGTTCCCTTTCTGTTCCCAACCAAAATTTTTACATATGTTCTATCATTTTCAAATAGAAGCTAATTCTAGTAAGCTCATCCATGCTGTTGGGTGTCTGTTACTTAGTGGACCACTTTTCCCATATAATCGTGTGGACCTTACTGTTGGTCTTGTGGTACATTAAGCCTTGGATGATGGGGATTGCCTGACTGTCTGATATGAAAATACAGATATGGGGGTGTATCTGTTTTTAAGTACAAAAAAACCCTAAATAGTAACCAAGCACCACTATTTTATTTTCCCCTTCTATAGTTGTGTGCTGCTCATCTCCCTACTGAATCAGACGCACCAAATCATTATCAGGCAGTATGCCGTGCCCTGTTTGCAGAAACAATGGAGCTCCATACATTTCTGACCAAAATTAAGAGTGCAAAGGAGGTAAGTAACACTGCTTTGATATTTATTGGCATAGTTTGATAGGCGTGTATTTGATATTTATTGGAAGATAAGCCTAAATTTTTGACATTGTCCACTCTATTGTTTTAAAAGATTTATTACCATCCTTTGGATGAGTGCTGAAAGTCATTTAGGAAAGAAGCAACTTAGGTAAAATTAAATCTACTCTATTAAAATATCAACAGTGTGAACCTTTTAAAAAACAGATTTTCATACAGATTCCTTGCAAATGGAAATAAATGCTACTGAACTGGTTCAGTTTGTTCCCATGTGACTTGCTTTCCACCCCCTTTCTGCTGCTCTTCTCTTCTGTTCATTCTGAAACATATTAGGACCTCTTCCACTAAGGGATAAAGACTCAGAAAAGAGATGACACTCACATCTGATCATGTAACTGTTTTATTTGTTGTTTATTTAAAAGGCGAGTCACTGTGTGTTACATAGATGGTTGTGAAAATTCAGTGAGATGTTTTTTTTTGTTTTTTGTTTTTTGTTTTTTTTTTAATTGAGACGGAGCTTCACTCCTGTTACCCAGGCTGGAGTGCAATGGCGCGATCTTGGCTTACCACAACCTCCGCCTCCTGAGTTCAAACAATTCTCCTGCCTCCGCCTCCTGAGTAGCTGGGACTACAGGCGCACACCACCATGCCCAGCTAATTTTTGTATTTTTTTAGTAGAGGCAGGGTTTCACCATGTTGACGCAGTGAGATCTTATATAAAATAACACAGCATCTGGCAGAAAGTGAGAGGTCAGTACATGATAGGTAATGGATATCTATATTAGTCAGGTTGTCCAGAGAGACAATGGGCTTTATAGATATATAGGTGTATGAAAAGGGGCAGGTGTAGGCTCATGCCTGTAATCCCAGCTACTTGGGAGGCTCAGACAGGAGGATCACTTGAGGCCAGGAGTTCAAGATACATGAGAAGGGATTTATTAGGGGAATTGGCTTCTGTGATTATGGAGGCTGAGAAGTCCCATGACGGATTGTCTGCAAGCTGGAAACCGTGGTATTCCAGCAGCACAGCTCAGTCCAAGTCCAAAGACCAAGGGTAGGAGAAGAAAAGTGTGTCCGTGAACCAGGAGAGAGAGAGGCCAATTTTCTTTCCTCTGTTTTTATTCTACACAGGGCCCCAGCCAAATGGATGGTGCCTACTTAAACTGAGGGCACTAGTTAGTCCACTCAAACTCACACAACCAGTATCCTCTGGAAACACACTCACCTAAATACATACCTAAAATAAAAATCTAGGTATTCTTTTATTCAGTCAAGTCGACACCTAAAATTAACTATCACAGTATCATTTCTTTTATAACTAACATATAGGGTTTATCAGAAGCACTAAGCTAAAACTTATCATACCCAGAGTTTGGGGAAAAACACATGGTGGATATATAAGCAAAAAAGGAAAAACTAAACTATTTGCCCATTAAGATGTACTTAGCCCTGGTAGTAAGTAGATGATTGGTGTCTCAGGCAGATCATCCTCAATAAATCACCGTTAAGTAGATTCATTGTATATATATATGCATAAGAGCTCTAAGCAGCCTTCCTCTGCTCTAGCCAGGGTACTGCTTATAGTCTGTCTTTTTATGATAGGGCAATTTGCCTTTTTCTTTTTAATTTTACAAAATTGGATCAAGGAGGAAAGTTGTCAACAGTGGAAAAAGGTGAATTCTATGTTATTTTAAGAATAAATCAGAGTGTGTGTGTGTGTGTGTGTGTGTGTGTGTGTGTGTGTGTGTAATGGACTAGCTATTTTATTTGAACAGAACCAGAGGAAGTGGGATCTGATTAAAAGCTTCAGAGTGAACATCCAAAGGCACGTCCTCAACTAAGTTTTCTCAAATAGTAGAAAAGATTACTTTTTAAGGCTGTCATTACCCTTCCCAGCTTGTTAAGATGGATTGTCTTCCCCAGAGCATTATTTTTAGGGTGTACATACACAGTCTTGTGAGGTTAATAGAGAAAATTAAATGAGCTTTTAAAGTCCTTCTAATAGTAGCATTCTTAGAAACTATTTGTAAGCTTAAATAGAGCAATATCCATATTTTTACCACCTTCTGCAATGAGCATTTAAAAAATGTTTGCTCTTGATCCTTTCACAGTTCCTAAGCGTGATGATTGGATATTCATACTTGTGTATGAAATGTTCCTTTTTCTAAACCTTATGTCAGCATGTTACTCATCTGATATAAAAAAAATAAATTTATTTTTGCTCTTGATTAAAATTTTGCTTTGCCAGATACGCAAACACACTTTCAAAAAGAGATTTAAACACAATTAAAGTTTATCTAAATAAAAAGCTGACAGACAGGTGGAGTAAAACTGCTGTGTTGCAGTGCCTACAGAAACTGGGCAGGTTGACCGAGGTTGGGCCCTCACAACTGTTTGTAGGTCCAGCCACATCTCTCACCCTCACCACCCCAAGGCTAGGTCTTTATAGGCATTAGTTCCACCCTGTTTTCACATCTCCCTCTACTCTATTGATCTCCATTTCAACCATTCCCAGTCTTTTCTGGAAACTACAATCCATTTTGAAAAGAGTTCCCTCAGGCTCTTCTCACAACACTTGTTCCCCTAAGGGTAGTGTTTTCTCTTGCTTCCCTCCTGTGGGAAGCTGGTCTCTCCTCTACATCTCCATGTCTGGATTGGGGTGGGTTTGCTAATATTCTGTCTCTCCGCTGCTGCCTGCCAGTAACCAACTTTCATCCTTGTTGAGACACTCTTCTTCCTTTGATGCTCCTGTCATCACTTCCGCCATCTTGAGTGATTTCCTAGACGAAGAAAGCACATAAATTACCTACCCAACATAAAGGTTTCAGGAATGAAGTCTTAGAGTCCAAATAAGCTTCTTTTTCCTCTGCAGTGTATAAGGCTTTCTTTATGTATGTATGTTAGTGATCTTAACCTTTTCTCAAAAATACTTTTTTCACAATAATGCTATTTGTTAATTTGATTTTTTTCTGAAGATTCAAAATACTTAATATATTTTAAGAATCACTCTTTACACCTATGAGTTAGTGTGTACCAAGTGGAATTTTTGAAACGATACTCTCTGATTCAACAAAATTAAAAATTGGGTTATCAACAATTTTTCAAACTACCTCATATCTGTGTCTGCATGTGTGTGCATGAATGCATATAAATTGGCGTGGAATTGTAGTGTCAGAACATTCGAGCTCAGTTGCTGATAATGTGTCTGATTTGATATTCCAAAAGTACTTTAATTATATTAAATGTCTTACATGCCAAATAGGCAATTTATTAAAATGTAAAATCTATCATCTGTTTTCCAATGTTATACTTGTTCTGTAAAGTGTTAAATGCATTTACTGAACTTAGCTACTTTATAAAGCACAGTGCCTGGTTCATCATCTGTTTATTTAGAAACCAAATTTGTTTACATTCTGATCTCTTTCATGATGTGATGATTTTCTTCTTAAACTAAGGTTATTCTTTGAATGATAAAGATTTGGGTAGGCCTGCTGTTACTTTGTCTCTTAAGCAATGTGATATCCTTGAAAGTAAATACACATTACTGTGTCTCCTAAGCAATTTGATATCCTTCTAAGTTAAGTATAGCTGGAGGGACTGTCTAAGCAATCCATGGAGTGCATCAGATTGTATGAAAGAAGAGCCACCCTGCCCTGCTCCCAGTGACACTACCATATTCCAGAGCCATACTGCAGGGGTAGCTGGTGAGCCTGTGCTGTGCAGAGGGGGCAATTTCAAAGGTAAAGTTTTTTTATTGGAGAAAATGAAATTATATTAATGGTAGCATCCTTTAATCTATTGTGGTTCAGGTAATTTTTTTTATCATTAGTCTCTAGTTTTGTTATTGTTAAATAAAATTTTTTATCATTACCTAAAACTTTAACCCCTGCTACTTTCCTATGTTATATTCATACAGGTATTTTATAAAATGTTTTCTCTCCCTTACTCCATTTAATCCTTGTAAGAATCCTGTGACTCTTTCAAATTAGTAAACTGAGGCAGTTCTCAGTGCTGCTGATAACAGCATTTCCATCCTTATCACACCCTTCAGTCCAGCAAAGGTGTTCCACTACACAGAAGTTATTGCTGTTTTCCTCTAAGAGTGTCACATGAAATGCACTGTTAGATGAAAGTAAAGAGAGTTCTGAAGAAAATGGAAGTAGATACTTTGATATAGGTTTCTGAGCAGTCTTGGAGAGAATATGTGAGTCAGTGAGACTAATATTTGGCTTTGGGGAGAAGAGGTTCATGAAAGAATGTGTGGGCATGCATGTGTTGGTGTTAGGGTATGATGGTCCTTCATATGCACACAAATGGGATTGAGGGTATACCATGTTAAGTTCAGGTATGAAATAAGAGGGAGGCCCAGCACAGTGGCTCATGTGCCACCACACCGGCTAATTACAGCACTCTGAGAGCCCAAGGCAGGAGGATTGCTTGAAGCCAGGAGTTCAATACTAGCCTGGCCAACAAGGCAAGACCCCCTCTATAAAAAAAATAATAAGAGGGAAATGTGAAGTGGGAAAAGATAAGAGGATCATAGAAGTGTCAAAGACTGAGATAAAATAGTTTTAAGACTGGAAAGTCAGTTGATTTTTCTCTGATACATCCCTAGCATGCTCTAATCATCCTTGCCTCCACGTTGAAAGTATGCAGTATGCTTGTCAGATTCTCCAGTAATACATTGTTTCATGGTAGGGGTATAATGATATTATAGTAGAAGAAACTTGATGTATCATAGAAGTACACTAGTTTAAAATAATTTTTGGAAAGCTTTCTTTAGAGCACATAACTCATTTTTTCATTTATTTCATAATTTGAAATATTTGTATTACACTGATCTTTTGTAAAAGCCCTTTTATTGGTGAATCATGCCATTCATTATTCATGTAACTTCTTAAAATCAAATAGCATTTACAAGACCTCTGTTTACTCATCTTTAAAAATGGGGAGGAAGGCCTGGGCTCAGTGGCTTACTTCTCT